TCTCACCGGTGGGTGCTGGCACACAGAGTCCCTGGTGCTCACCACTACGACCCCGGCTGTGCGGCTGCGAAGCCTCTCGAGGGCTCCGATCCGCCTCACTCCTGCCACCACGTGCCCAGCCCGCTCCTCTCTCTCTCCCAGCCATGGGCACAGACAGCGCTGCGGCACGGCCGGGCCCCTGCGGTGCCCCGCTGTCTTCCCTCGTGCCTGCAAACGTGCTCCTCCTGCCCACAGTCCCATAAACACTGTGCAGTAGACACGGCTCCCACCGCACAGCACAGGAGCCGGGCAGACCACACAGCAGCAGGGGGCCCCTCGTCCGTGGGGACTCACCACGGCTCGGTCGGGCTAGAACACCTCACACGCTGGACTACACACCTGTCAGGGACGCCAGACCAGCAATGCAGAGAGACAGAGACAGAGAGAGACGTCTGCCGGGAAGGCTCCCCGACGGGCGCTGCGCAGAGAGACAGAGACAGAGAGAGATGTCTGCCGGGAAGGCTCCCCGACGGGCGCTGGGCAGAGACAGAGACAGAGACAGAGAGAGACGTCTGCCAGGAAGGCTCCCCGACGGGCGCTGCGCAGAGAGACAGAGACAGAGAGACGTCTGCCGGGAAGGCTCCCCGACAGGCGTTGCGCAGAGAGACAGAGACAGAGAGAGACGTCTGCCGGGAAGGCTCCCCGACAGGCGCTGCGCAGAGAGACAGAGACAGAGAGAGACGTCTGCTGAGAAGGCTCCCCGACGGGCGCTGTGCAGAGACAGAGACAGAGAGCCGTCTGCCGGGAAGGCTCCCTGACAGGCGCTGCACAGAGAGACAGAGACAGAGAGAGACGTCTGCTGAGAAGGCTCCCCGACGGGCGCTGTGCAGAGACAGAGACAGAGAGCCGTCTGCCCAGGAAGGCTCCCCGATGGACACACTACCAGTCGTGCGAACAGCTCTGGCCCAGCACCGTCTCAGGACTCCAGACACCGGTGCGACCCTGAGAGCCAGCGGCCAGACTGGCAGGACCACCCCCAGCCAGCAGTCCCCCTAACATGTCGGGGACACACGTCCATGCCATAGTGCCGGGGGGACACGCATCCGTGCCGTGGGCATCAGAGGACCTCCCCTACCGGGCACGTGTGTGCCAGGACCCCGAGGGGAGAATGGAGGAGGGACTGCAGCGTGGCCATCCCCCTGGGGTGAGTTCTCGCCTCGTCTCTCTCTGACTTCCCGGCGAGTGCACACGCCCTACAGCAAAAATCTCTCTTCAAGAAACAGTGCAGCTGGGAACCAGCAGTTAGTGTAATGGCTATGTCGCTGGACTCCCACGTAGTCGACCGCGGTTCACGTCCCGGACCCGATGGCTTTAAACTCCCGCCGGGCACATGTGCGTGTGTGCCCAGGATCCCGAGAGGATATTGGAGGAGAAGGGATTGCGGTGTGACCATCCCCCCTGAGGGGTGATTTCTCGCTTTCTGTCTCTCTGTCTCTCTCTGGCGAGTGCACACGCCCTATAGTGAAAAAACACCTCTCCCAAAAAACAAACAAACAAACAAACAAACAAACAAAAAAAAAACAGTGCAGCACCTCCCTAGGCCTGTCTGGGCACAGCACAGCGTGTGCCAGACCAGTGGAGCCCGGCCGGGGCAGAGGCGAGGGGCGCGTCGGACCCCCACTCCGAGTCCCGGCATTACTGACACACGGCCAGGGCCGTGGCTGAGTGGGCATGAGTCCAGGTCCTGTCAACCTGACGGCCACACGGGGCGCGTGGACACATGCCCAGGCTCCTGACAGGGTGCAGACCTGGAGGGAAGGCACTACACTGTGACCAGACCCTGTCCCCATCCAGGGCGACGGCCCTTCCTCCTCGCGCCTTTTCTCTTTCTCGGTCCCTCCCTCCCCCTCAGTCCCCCGTGTGCACCTATGACCTCTGACACGAGAGGGGTTTTTAACTAGAGAAGACCCGAGTGGTGCGAGGACGTCCCGTCCAGGGCAGCGCCAGGCGGCAGCACGGCCGTTGGTGCTGGTTCCGGGTCCCAGACCCAGCAGGTGCGTGCCGAAAACCCACATGAGGGGGAGAGGGAGAAGGGCCTGTGGCACAGCCGGCCCTCAGTGGAGGTGCTCTCTCACCCCTCCCCTCCCATCTCTGTCTCTCTCTGGCAAGTGACGCTAGCAAAACTGTCTTTAATGTTTATTTCACTCATTTCATATTATTATTTTTGAGTTTGTTATAGAGCATATGTTCTTACCCGTGAGAGACAGAAAAAGCAAACCACCAGACCCAGGACTCGAACAGCAGTCAGCCACGTGGGAGTCCAGCGCCTTAACCACCATGCCACCTGCTGACCCTTAGCAAAGTTTCTTTTATTTTTTTTAAAGAACTATTTATTTTATTTATTATTAGTTTTTAATTTGAACAGAGAGAGACAGCAAGAGAGAGAGGGAAAGTGAGAAAGCAAGCTCCTAGGTCCAGGACTTAAACCGTGGTCGGCTACCTAGTAACACTTTTGAAGAGTTAAGGTTGTTCAGATGAGGCTCCCAAGGTGCTCCAGCCCACACAGGCCCCTCAAGACATCCTCTCTGCAGAAACTGACCAGCTGGTCCTAAAAAGGGCTCAGGACGGCCAGCAGAGGACTCCTGAGAGAAAGCCGGTCAGGGCCCTGGTTGCAAAAGCGAGTGGGGCGGCCAGACGGCAGACCTGGGGGCAGGGTGGGGACGGAGACACAGAGCCAAGGGCCCCAAGAGGGGCTTCGCAGGAACATGGCCTTTTCGATGAAGGGCCCTGGGACACTGGGTAGCCACATGCGAGGCCACACCCCGCCCCACCCACCGATGCGGTCGGCCCACTGTGGCTGCAGACCTGGCCCTCGGCGCCAGCCCACAGTACTCACAGGGGACGCAAGCACAGCCCCTGGCCCGGGTGGCAAGGCAGCGCATCTTAGTTCTGACACCCGGACCACTGGGGACAGGGGCGGGCCGGCCGCGTCCACACTAACTGCAGCTGTGGTTCAAAGGGCGCCCAGGAGCCTGAAGAGGCGACCCTGGAACCAGATGTTTTCCTGTACACCCGGGTATGATAAAAGACGTATCTAAATGCACAAAGAACTCTTCCAACTCAGGAAGAAGGCAAACAACCTATGTAAAAGCAACCGAGGACCTGAGTAGACACTTCTATGTCTATTCAAAGTGCCAAGTGGACCGGTCGGTACTCTCATAAGGCGCCGGCAATGCCCCTGCGGTAGCAAGCCACTGTGAGTTTGCGGTTTCTGTACTCAGCTCGACCTGGACCTGCAGCGGCCTGGAGGGGGTGCAATGGCTACAAGTCCCTTCTCCTTCCTTGGGCTCGGGCCCCGCCCACTCCCGGAGCCCACCCGAGCCCACCCGAGCCCCGGGCACGGGCAGTACCGTTCTGCAGGGTCTGGGCTCTGGACTCCTTTCCGAGGTTCACGTGGAAGCCGCCACCCAGGGTTGGGGTTTTGCCGGCACCTGGAAACACAAGGAAGACGATGAGCCAGGCCCCAGGGAGGGCTGCAGCCCCTCCTGTCAGCACTGGGAGGTGGGCTGGCCCTGTGGCCGGGGAGTGAGGTGGGGAGGCCACATCACCTGGAGGCCTGGGGGAGCAGGGCCACCAACAGGACAGGAGGAGGAAGTGGGGGCCCGGCAGGGCCAGCTCCAGGGAGCAGCAGCTGGGCACTGGGGGCCCTGTGGGGCCAGGGGCCACGGGGCCACACCTGTACATCCCAGGCAGCGCCCTGACGCACCCAGCGCCCAGGGCGACTGCACTTACACGCTACGCCCAGACTCTGCGGGTGTGGGGTGCCCGAGCTGCACGGGCTGGTCCCTCTGTGGGGAGACTGCCGACTCTGAGAGGGCAGCGACGCCCCCCGCTGCACCTTCAGAGTACAGCCAGAGACCTACAGGAGCCGCCACGCCCCTACCCTGCCGGCCGCGCACCCAGAGCAGGGCCATCTGGGCACCATGTCTGCTTAGGAACTGGAGCAAGCCCGAGACTTTGCCCCGGGGGCCTGGGACCCTGGGAGAGCTCAGGAGGATGTGTGTGGTTTGGACTGACCAGACCGCGACGGCTGCCTGCTCGGTATGCACACGTGCACAGCCAGGCAGCCCGTGAAGGCCACGGAGCTGCGCGGGCCTCCAGTCCCACTGCGCGGGCAGCCAGCACAGTGAGGAAGCACAGCTGAGACCAGAGGCTCCCGCGGCAGGGACACCCCAGCCATGTGGGGGACATCGGTGCCAACAACTGGAGCGTGGGATGGGCCTCTGCAACGGCACAGGGCCTGCCCGCTGCAGCCACCAGCACCACCTCCAGCCCAGCCGGAGCATTCCCAAATGCCACGCTCTCAGGTCCGGCTGGAGCCATAGCGTAATTGGGCCAGCCACGAAGCCCTGGATAGGGTGCCGAGAGCACTGGCCTGGGGCAGAGAGCTGAGGGGACTGGCCCCTCGCCCTGCACAGCAGAGGTCCGGACTGGCCCCGTGTCTATCTGCTGCTGCCTGGGGTTCACAGGCTCAGCCCAATTCTGCGGAAACGAGCCCCGCCCAGTGGGGATGGGCACGGGGCACTGGGCACGAGGCCCCTCCAGTAAGCGCGTGCCAGCAGGTGCAGCGCCCAGGGCTGCGGCTGCGCACCAGCTCCGCATCACTGCCGAGAGAGTCTGGGAGCCTGTGGCCTTCGAGAACAGGCGCAGTCTCTCAACGGCAAGGCCTACGGGCCTGGGAAGGCCCTGTGAGGCACGAGATGCCGCACCTGCCCAAGGCAGACTGGCTCCGCTCCCTGGTTGGTGGCTCCAGCACGAGCCCCACCTGCTGGTGTGGACTGAGTCTGCAGGGCCTCGCTGGGTGCGGGTCTGTGCGTCTAAGCGTCCCGCCCTCACATCAGGGCTCTTTGCTTGTGGGTGGTGACTTTCTCCAGCTTTAGCTGAAGGCTCTCGGAGACCCTTCGGCCACAGGAACCCACAGAGGAAGCCCACGCGTGCCGCAGGCACTCGAGAGGGCGGCCGCAGCCCGGCGCTGTTCCCAGCAGAGGTGCCCCGGCAACTCCTCAGACAGTCACAGTGCCCACTGTTCTGGTTAAGCAGGTACGTGCTTTTAACAACCCCAACAGCACCGCATCAGAAGGACGATGATCAAGGCCCATCTTCCAGGAACAAGGGAACCTGGGTGGCTCCCTCCTGCCATCTGCCCTGGGAGACAGACAGGAGGGGCCTGGCTGCTCCCAGCACGGCACAGCCAGAGTCCGCACACTGCAGGGAACGGAGCTCGCAGGGTGTGTAAGTGGAGCCTTGCTGTGCCATGTTCCTTCTGCCTCGGCCACCCGGCTGGCACTGAGGGGTGCCCAGCACACCCAGCCGCTCTCGGACAGGCCTGCCTGTGCTGCTCAGCCCCGCCTCGAGCTCCGGACCCTCTGCTCCGGGCCGCACGCTGTAGCACTCACAGACCACACAGCCACACCCCGTCTCCCCACGCGCTCTCCCTTCACTTAGGAAGACATGCATGCACGGCAGCAGGGCCTGTCACGCTGCGGTCTCCTCCCTCCAGCCCACTGGGTCTGGACGCCGGCACGTGCCCAGCGTGGGCCTAGGATCCAAACCACGGCCACCACGAGCCATCCAGCGCATTACTACGTGCGGTGGCCGGCCTCAGCTTCAAGTGTATTTGCTGGGACAGGGTGACATGGAGGTTAAGGTAGCTGGACCCCACGTGGCTGTGATCTGAGTCCCAGACTTGAACGGAATCCCACCCAGGGGGTGATTTCTCACTTTCCCCCCACTGTCTCTCCCTCCCTCTGTCTCTGGCCAATACATGTGCCCTGTAGAAAATCAAAGGACAAATTAATTTAATTTCTTTCTTCTATGAGCAAGACCGAGAAAGATGGAGAGACAGCACCTGCGCCGCGGTCCTGGTACTGCAGTTCACTCTCACTTCCGCCAGCCCTGGGTCGCAGTCACACAAGTGCCCGCGTACTCAGGAAGGGCTCCCAGGAAGGGCTCCGCACATGAACCGGAACCGCCTACGTGGGCTGCCCTGGAGTGCAGCACTGGACTGCTGCCCCCCTGATCCCACATCCGGCCTTTAGGTTACACCAGACCTGGAAGCCGGGGCTCTCGTGTGGTCCCAGCACAAGGTCTCAGGACGGAGGCCAGGCCTCAGGCCTCTCCCATCCTCTCCCCGTCACATGGCACAGCTGGAAAGGCCCATCGGACACACGGGGCGCCGCCCCCGCCCAAGGCAGGCCGCCGAGCTCCAGGGTCCACCTCTGCCCTTCCTCCCTACCCCCCCAGGACCTCCATCCTGGCTGTCCACCCTGACGTCCGCCTCCCCAGCATGCAAACATGTGGGTATGCATACATGCATGCACAATAATGCACACACAATTGAACACGTGAGAATTGTGCAAAGCACTCATCCAGCACCTCCAGCAGGCTCCGACGGGAAGAAAGCCCCCAGTGTGACCGCTGCCCAAGCACGAGCGCTGCGTTCTCCCCCTCCAAGCCCTGCGCTGCTAGAAGCTCGATTTCCCAAGCGAGTTTCGGGAACAGGCATGCAAGCCCAAACAGGCAGGAAGTGCTCTATCTGTGGGGCCTGGCCGAGGCTGCCCTCTTGTGGGCAGCAGGTGAGGGATCCAGAAGAGAGCCTGGAGGAGTCCAGGCCGAAGCACTGCCCTGCCCTGCCCCGTGGGTGCAGGTTTCAGCTCAGTGTGGAGCTTCTTCCCAGGGGACCGTGACAGGTGGCTGCACAGGGCAGGCGGGAGGCAGGGGCTCTCTCTCGGACAGAGGGCGCCTACCGAACAGCCACTCTGCAGGACCCGGGACTGCAGGTGTGGAGAACCACACGTGGGAACCCGCCCAGAAGTCGTGGCAGGCACAGTAAGCCACAGGCAGCTGGTTTGCAGTGAAACGAATCTGGCTCTGGAAACCTCGGTGCACGGGCACAGGGGCGGGCCACGCCTCACAGCCTGCGGGCTCGCTCGCTGACGCTGCCGGGACGGGACCTGGCCAGCATTTCTGAGCACACACTCTGACCAGTACTCGGCGGGGCGAAGGGAGGTGCAGGGAGAGCCTGAGGGGGACCCCTGCTCAGACCTGGCCACCCGCAATCGCTGCTGAGGGCAGAAAGGCCTGCCTGGCTGGCTCCTGCCGCTCCCCGGGCCCCAGGTGGGGCAGCCCCGAGTCCTGGCACAAGCTACAGCCTGGGTCGCAAGGACCACTTCGCTCCAGGCTGGAACACAGGCAGGCAAACACCCGGCCTAGAGGGCACTGCGAGTCTCTGAGAGCCTGTGAGGACTGTCCCCAGACCACCCCGGTGTCCCAGTGACACACAGGGGCAGGAACGGAACAGCCCCTCTGCTCTGCACCCTGGAGAGACCCTGGACACATGCACAGGACGCCAAAGAACACGTTGCTGGGCCCGCACACCCCAGCTCCCTGCAGTCCTGGGAAGGCCCCAGGCCAGGTGCTGGGCAAGACCGGGCTCCCCGGGTCCCACGGGTGCTGGGCCAGCCGGCTCCATGCCTGCGCTAAGGGAGTGCACGACGCCTGGACGCAGGTGCAGGAGATAGAGCTCAGGTTTTAAGAAGCTGGAGGGAGGGCCAGCGAGCAGGGAACCCGAGGAGTCCCAGAGGGACGGTGGGCCGGGTGGGCGGAGGGAAGACGGAGGTGGGGGTGGGGGGTCCCGCTGGAGCAGCTGAGGAACCATCCGCTGTCTGCACTGGCCCTGTGGGTACCGTTCTTCCCGAGGGCCAGGGCGGCTGGTTGCCGGGCTCCCTCTCCCTCTGGAGAGCCAGCCTGGGCTGAGAGGCACCTTGGTGCCACCTGCCAGCTTCTGCTGGGCTTGGGCTCAACTCCCTGTCCCAGACTGCAGGCAGTGTGGTGCGGGGCTCACCCCAGTCTCTGCTTACCCTGCCTGCCCACCACCCCTAGGCACCAGGACAGCACGCCTTCGCCAGGCGGGGGTGTGGCCAGCACGGTGGCCACCCCTGGAAACCCTAAGTGTGCCTCCGCATCCTGTCCTTGTCATCCCTGCTGTCGGCGTCCAACAGGCGTCTCAGCGGAACAAAGCCTTGGTGACATGGGGGAGCTGCGAAGTCCCAGCCCCAGCCCGAGAAGACTCTGGGGAAATCACCCGTGAGCAGAGGTAAGGCTGCACACGAGGCGGGCGAAGGGAGACGGGGAGAGAAGTCGGACACCCGAGGCCAGTCCTTGAGAACGGGCAGTGAGAGTGACAGGCTTCGAGTAGGGGAGGGAGGGCACAGAACACTGAAAGGGGACGGCGTCACCACAGACCCCACAGCTGCCAGCAGGGCAAGGAGGGGACACGAGCAACCCACAGCGAGAACAGATCGCTTCCTCGAAACACTGTTGGGCCAGCAGGTGTCCTGGTGGTTCAGGTGCTACAGCCCACACAGCTAACTCCACGGTTCGAGTCCTGGACCTGTCTGCTTGAAAATCATACCAGGCATGTGCCAAAAAT